GAAAGGAGAAATAGATCAAGAAAGAGGAAACAGGTTGGCTGATCAGGAGGCAGAAAGGGTAGCAGGACAAGGACAAGGTACAGTAACCATACAACCCTTCATTCCAGAAGGTAAAATTGAATTCGATTCTAAAGATTTTTATTCTAAGAAAGACCAGGAACTCGTTCAAGATTTGCATGCCACCTTAAGGGGTGAAAATTATGTGACCCCTCAAGGACATATAGTAATACCCAAAAAGGCTTTATGGCAAACAGTGGTAAGGGAACATGAGAAAACACACTGGGGAGGAGATGCCCTGTATAAAATTATCCGGAAAAAAATAATAGGTAAAAACCTTTATACTATAATCAAGCAAATTACTCCAAGCTGCACTGTCTGCCTCCAAAATAATCCTCAAACAATTCATAAAGTAGGATTCAGGACAATAGAGAGAGGATACTATCCTGGACAGCAGTGGCAAATCGATTTTTCCAAACTCCCAAGAAAAGGGGCATATTGGTACCTCTTGGTCCTAACAGATACCTTCTCTGGATGGCCTGAAGCCTTCCCAATGAGGACCAATAAAGCCAGAGAAGTAATCAAAGTATTACTCAATGAAGTAATACCTAAATTTGGGGTACCTGCTGACATGTCCTCAGATAGAGGCTCTCATTTTGTAGCCAATGTGGTGCAAGGAGTGAGTAAAGTGCTACAAATTAATTGGCATCTTCACACTCCTTATAGACCACAACCAAGTGGGCAAGTAGAAAAAGTGAATCATTTACTTAAACAGGAAATTATTAAAATTGGACAAGAGGCCAATTTACAATGGCCTCAAGCATTACCTTTGGCTTTATTGAGAGTCAGGGTGAAACATAAAAGTAATGAGTAACTAAGTCCCTTTAAAATATTATATAGAAGACCCTACAAACTCACAGACGGGGAAGAAGATATCAACCAACAGAGGGAAAGTTGTGTTCAGTATTACATAATTACATTATCTAAACAATTATCTCGGATTAATAAGTATGTAATCAGCACTCAGTAAAGGGGATTGGATGGCCCCTTACATAATATACAACCCGGAGACTATGTTTACATAAAAACAACAGTGGGAAACCCTTTCCAGAAGAAATGGAAAGGACCTTACCAAGTGTTACTAGTTACATATATTGCTGTAAAGGTAAAAAAATGTAACTGCTTAGATACACTGTTCCAGAACTAAGAAGGTTCCAAAGCATGAGAAGGATCCTCCACTAATGCAGAAATGGACCTCTGAGGGTACTGGACCAGTAAAAATGCGATTCCAGAAATCATCATCGTGATCTTCTACATCACAACTGGACAAACAGATTACTGCATCACCCATCAAGATCTAGATGAGGTCCCTGACCCTAAAGACCAGGCCAAGAATGGGTACTTGGGTAACATAAGTCTGAATATCATAAATGAAGTAAGTAAAATATATATAGTTTCAAAAATTAACAGCCAAATAAAGAAAGACTGGAAGAATTCAGAACAAGACCCTTCCTTTGAAACAAAAACCAACTCAGTTGATATGGCATGTAAATTTAAAGTGAAGCAAATATACCAAACCGAGGTAATACTGGTTGATATTTATGTATATAATTTTAAAAAGCCCAAACAGTGTGTATTCTTGGCAACATGTGCTTATTATCGAGAATACTGTCAGGTGAAAGTTCAGCTTAATGCTAGTTCAATAATTCCGTGCATAGGAGTTATACATAATGGGAAAAAAATGAAGAAATCATATCAAAAAGCAGCTTTAATTTCAATCCCAATAAATATGACCACCACATATAGTACGGATAAAGATCGAATCTCTAAATCATTTAATCATCCTCCTAAAACAAAGAAGGACAAAATCCCTTGTAAAAAACCTAGATGCACAAATGCTGTAGATAGGCAATGTACACCCAGACACCAACCTGATGACATATCAGTAAGGAGTTCAGATAAAAAGAACTAACATGGTTAAACCTAACTAAAACTACTAGAAATTTCAAGGGCCACACATGCTTTACTGAATCACTAAAGACTAAATATTCCCCAAATAAAAAATTAACAATTGCTGTTCTCTTAACAGTTCTATAATATGTACTTCCTGAAGAGCTGGGGTTTGGAAGGGGGAGGGTCAGATGTCTAACTTTGTGAAATCAAACTTTAAAGTCAAGTATTTGAGAGGTTAATAGTTCTCAAAATTAGAAATTCTTTTCCATCAAAAATCTTTTGCTGTGATGAGCTTTTATGTAACAGTACACATATGACCAAATACATTATTATCCACACTTTCTTGTTATTTACCTTTTCATTGATGTATTGTCACAAATTTCAATACCTCCAGTATGCAGGTGTATGACTCTGTCCTAAAAAAAATATAGCAATTATGAAGTAAATATGAGTGGCAATCAGTCATTAAAAGCATTTCTCCATTATTTTCAACTTTATGATCCTTAAAAACGGCAGTGGACAATGCTTTTTTAATGTATAAAAATAACATCTAATAGCTGGAAAATGTTTTAAGTTCCTTTCGATTACAGTTTACAAGATAATAATCTTGTGGGAACATGCCTCAGCATTTCCATGTATTCAAGACTGACAAAATGAAATGTCTCCTTTAATTCTTTTGGCAGTTGAAGAAAAGTGATTGAAACCTTTTGTTATACAGCCTTCAAGATTAAGTGGTCACATCTGTTGAGTAGTTTTTGAAGGATGTAATATAGATTTGGATAATTAGCTAGAAGCTCTTTTTTCCATTAAGTTGTAGGCAGAGTACTGTCTCCAAAGTTTATTATCAGACTTAAGAGTCGCAAATGATGTTATCAAAGTTCAAGCCACTTGATTATAGCATACTTTTAACATTTTCAAATACTCCCAGTGCAATTTCCTTGCTGTCTAAAATTATTAAGCAGATAATGGATTTTACATTTCGCAGTAATGGAAAACTGTCAGGAACATTTTGAAGCATTAATAACTGTGGGCATAATATGACCTTTAACTGTTTTCATCTGAAGGAGAAACATGTAACTTTTGCCCTGAGCAGCTGCATCTTCTTGAATGAATGTTGCAAACAATACCAGTAAATTTGCTAATGTGCTGATGCGATTTATATGAAGGTCTATACATAATGGATTTATTTTGTTGCTTCTGCAGAAGCTATCTTTGAATTTATCCACAACAAAAAAGTTTTCAGTTTTGATCTTCACATCTTTTTATGCCAGATTTATTTTTATGATCTGCTGTGATACAAGCTATCCTGTATCTGACAATCCATTGCAAACAAATGAGAACCGACTTCTGCATCTGCTGCAGAAAGCCTTATGGCAGCTATTGCAGTCTGTACCAATCCGTGCAAATTATTTTCTTACTTGTTCCATGAAATGCAAAATCTTTTCCTTTTTTTTTTTTTTTTTTGTCTTTTGGATGGAAAGCTACTGCTAAAGTAATTGTCACATTCATGATTCATGGTGGGCTACAATTCAACCAACAAATAAATATCAGCATATCTGGCCCCATATCAGACCATGTTCATTGTGTTTACTCCCTATTGTTTGTGTGTTGAGCAAATAGTCTTTAGGTATTGTGCATTCCTCAGGCATTATTTATCCTTCCACACCAAATAACTGCACATGCAAGAAATGCCTAGCTGCACTTTTTAAGTAGACTTGGTTTGCTCCACATATATATTTCAAATATATCACTTGCACTGTAATTTTCAAGACTGTAACAATTATTAGGCTTCTTAGGCTTTAGGGACACTGTGTATGTGTAAATTATTGCTGCTTGAAGCTAGATACAGGATTCAATTTCAAGAACATTGGTCTTTCATTTTTTAAGTATGTGTACTTCAACTTCAGAGAGTCAGAGGAAGAGGAGTCCAGAAAAATACTTGTCTCACTTTTCTGTCTCATTGTGACCAGGTTCTTCAGGCGTCCTGAGATCACAGTCAGAATTTGATCCATTGCTGAGGGAACTTCCCTCTCACTTTGAAACTCCCAGTCTTTGCCCCGAGGTTTTCTCAAGTCCTTATTCTGTAACTTCCTCCTGAGTGTGTGTATGTGTGTGTACCTGCACATGTGTGTGTGCACGGGCAAGCGTGGGCCGGGTGGCTCTGAGTTTGTGGGATAAGGTTCTGCTCACCTCCCTGCTCCTGGGGATGGTGGATTGTCTCCATCCCTTTTGCTGAAGTTTGAAGGGACATGAAGGAATTCACAACAAAGATTTTATTCTCAATTGTTTAAGAAGGAGCCTTATTGTGTGGCCACTAGGCTATGCTGTCTACTGGAAAATGAAAACTGTTCTTTCACATCTCTGTGGAGTAAAGAAGGCCTGCGATCCAGCAGGCACCACTTTGCTCTTGAAGGTCAGTGTATAATGTGAAGTTTCTTAAGCACTAATAATGGATCAATATTTTTGTTCTTTTTTTCTCTACCAGTTGGTAATACCACCTGTTAATGATAAACATTAAATGTTTATAAAACTATAAAGGGATCATTTCTAAACAGTGATTTGTGTGACTCAAAGACACCGATGACAAACAAGGTATTTTACATACTTTATTAGTAATGAAAATATTCCTCAAAGACATGACTCCACATACAACTTGCTTATCAAAAAGGAAATAAAGCTCCTCTCTTTCTTCTTACTTGTTGAATAGATGGAGTATCTACACACTAAGTAAGAACTTAAAATTACATCACTAGAATAGTAACATCCTGTTAAATACTGCTTTATGTTCTTGTGGAGTAGAAGAAATGAAATAGAAGATTTAAGAATAGCCTTGAAAATAATTTTAAGGAATGAAAGCATGTAGAATTTGTAAAAAAAGCTAGACAAATAATACTTTAGAAACCCTGACCTTGAGTTATAAAATACAGTAGTGCTACACTCAAAGCATGTAGTAGAATTAGAATAACTCAGCAAAAAGTGTACCCCGTATCTTGCACCTGTCAGTTTTTCTGTCTGCATTGAGTTCAAGGCACATTTTTAATAGGTTTGGGGTTTTTTTATAAAATGATACAAAAATACACTACTAGTAAGGCAAATATTTAAAATAGGATTAAATCCACTATACTCAAATATCCATTATCAGGTATCTTCTGGGCATAGACCAGAAATTAGTATAACATTGTCCACTCCAATTTCTCCAGTTTTGCCCTTCCCACGTTCTGATTCAAAAGTGACCTGTCATAAGAAAAGAGACGTATTAACAGAGAAAAAGTAGATTATCCAACCATTTAGCAACTCTTAATGTTAATTAGCTATAATGCTAAATCTGAGTAATGCTTTATCACAATACAGGACTTAATGACTTAAATCCTTGCAGTTTTTAGAGTCTGTGTAAATCTGCACAGATTTACAATACCTAATGGATTCCTTTAATAAGATTACTTATTTTCATTGTACAAAGGAAATGCAAACTCTGTGAAAGCCGATTTTAATAATGCAGTTTTATCACAGTATGTGATGCTAGTGCACTACTTTTCTTGAAGACATTACAACTGTTCATTTTTTATATATTTGGATCCTTAGTTTTTGGGCGTATATACTCTATATATTTAATCTCTCTACATAGTATGTATATATATAGTATGTATACTATAAAGAGAGAGAGTAGGCTCATTTTTATGAATAGCATGCCTGAGTTTTTATTTTATAGTCTGATTCTCATTTATGTAATGTCTTTTCTACATTATTCCAGCACTGCAAAGAACCTTTAAAGGGGCTTGCATTTCATTTAAAGTATTCAGCTCTACAGTAGAAGCCTTTACACAGCAGTGACAATGTTCAGTCACATAAATGAAAACCAAGCCCTAGAATTCAAAGGAGAAACTTGCTGAAGTCCTGATTGAGGCAGTTTTCAGGCACACATCAGTGCACAGAGTTCCCTGTTGGCTAGTATGTCCTGCTCCTAAGGTGATTGTCCACACTTGATTATACATGATGCTTCCTTTTGCTGTAATGGTCTGCTTTAGTGTGGTCTGAGAGCATCCTCTTCTATGAAACAGAAAATTTTCATTTTTCCAGGCATGTATATATGCTTCTGTTGCATGAGATATTAAGGAGAGATTTTGATTGCTTGTGTGAATTTCTGATCTGATGCAGTTTTTTTACAAAATGCTAGGATTACTGGCATCAGTGTCCTAACCAACTGGGGTAATTCAGTTCTGAATTCACAACCATATAATAACTTTTCTGCCTCCTAAAATGTGTGCTCCTGTTTTCCATTGCGGATAAGCCTTTCAATTGCCAGTAAGCAATGCCTATAAAGCAGTTGGTGGAACACTTCAGGATTAGGAAATTAAGATGCTTTGTTGGTTATGGTAGTTGGTTTATAAATTAAGTTATACTTACACTGTTGGTTGTTTCAGCCCCCTGAAATATCTCTATTTTTCCAGTTCTCCACCTTTCATCTTTTCCGTTGTTCTGCTCCCAGGCAGGAGCAGTTTTTTTGTTTGCCAGGAACACTCGAAGTTTCCCCACCCTCTCGCCAGCAAGCCGATAACTGAAAATCAGGCAGTAGCTGCTCCTTGGTTTGAGGTCGGTGAGGAAAAGTTTTAGACGCCCCATATCCTTCTTATGCCCCACAAAAGCCGGAACTGCCATGTAGTACCCATCACCTTGTATCAAAAAAAAAGAGGAAAACACATCTTTAATGGACTTGTTTTATTTATTAGCAAACTGAATATATATTTGCTGAGAAAATACATGGATGCTGTTTTACTTGAATAATTTAAAATCACACTGGAGAAAAGCAGCAGGGAGTGTACTTTGCAAGGAATGAGCTTGCACTGTTGGAAGTCAGATCAGTTTATAGAGGAGATAACTTCATATTTCACTGGCAATTACAGTCATTCTTCCTTGCACTGTCTTTCAAAGGTAAAACTATCTCAGTCCTTCAAATGCAACAGCCTAAAACATGCTGCTTTGCCTCTGTGGTCAGACCATTTCCAGTACTTGAGTTAGCTCGGTATCTCGCCACTGTCCTCTGCAGTGATGACAAACTCATAAAGGAACTGATAGCTTATTCCCCAAATGCTGGAGGACAAATGACATGACAGATACACACTAAGTGATAAAAGGATAACACATCTGGGCCCATAAATAAAGTCACAATCAGCAGATATAAGTTTGGGGAGATGAAGTAAGGTCAGGGTAAGGTCTTGGGGAAAAGGAGCAGGAGAGGAAGGATTAGTGAAGAAAGACTGGGATGGAAAGACTGTGAGGGAAGAGGGAGAGAATATGTGTGTAGGAACTGAAGCAAGTGGCCTGCAAGATCTGCAGGATCCACCAGTCCCTACTGCAACAGTTTCTGCTTTTCTGCAACAGCTTGTGGTTTTCTTCCAGCAAAAACTGGAGCACCAAAAGTTCCACACAAACTTAAGGAAAACCTTTTTTACTGTAAGGGTGACAGAGCTCTGGGACAGGCTGCCCAGAGAGGTTGTGGAGTCTCCATCTCTGGAGATGTTCAAAACCCACCTGGACGCTTTCCTGTGCAACCTGGTGTAAGGAACCTGCTTTGGCAGGGGGGCTGGACTAGATCATCTCCTGAGGTGCCTTCCAACCCCTACCATTCTGTGATTCTGCAACATTTCCTGTGCCACAGGGGAAGACACATCCTTTCAAACAAGTTTCTTCAGCCACACTTTTATATATACACCAGCAGAGCAGTCACACATTGCACTCGTAGAGCTCTTTCTCAGGTTTTAGCAGGCCTGCAGTTGGTACTAGGTCAGGTATCAGTTGTTCTTGAATAGCCCCCTGCCCTTGGCTCATTCTGAGGAATGCCATCACTAGTTCATCTTGCAGTGTTTGAGATTTCTGAGCAGTTATCACAGTGCTGTCTAAGCCATAGGAGTGACTACATTGCCACATCCATCTACATGGCAGATGCGTGGTTAAATGCTGTACCAGTCTTGGAGAGACACAATGCATAACTAATAAGGTTTCCATTGCCTTGTACCTTGCAATTATGAACAGTTACATACTAATAATTTTTCTCCTGTTTTGTTTCATTTGTGTTGAAATATGTTGCTGACTATCAGCTGCCACTGGATATTTCAAAGAAAAAATTTCCACTCCAAACATTCTCTGCCTCCGTTTTCTTTTATAAAGATAAACCCCTCATAGGAAAGCTAATTCTTGATTATGTTTTCCCCTCCATCCCCCTTTTTTTGGAGAGGGTGAGACATCAAATCAAAGCATAGCTACAACACAGATACTTAAATACCTCTATCTCGATCAGCAGGATTCCAGTCAAAGTCATCATCAGCATCTTGTTTCCAGTCGCAGACCCCTTGACTGAAGCTGCAATCAACTGAAAAAAAAAATTGTCAGTGGAGACTCAGAGAGAAGAGCAGCACTGTATCATAAGTACTGATAAAAATAATTTGTTCTTTATTCAACCAGTTATGAATATATAGGTCATTGTAAAATTATCTACAATCTGAGTTCAGATAGTGTTGACCTAGATTAAATTGCAAAAAAGCAAAACATTAGAATTCATGTAGTAATTCTTTCTTTAACTCACAGAAAAATCTGTTGTGTATTTTTACTGCCAGTCTCCTGGTTGTAAACATGAGTTTATGTGCTGTGACTTCTATATACTGCATGCCTGCTGATCGCCAGGTATAGTCGCAGGTGTTAGTTTTGAACTCTAGCATCCCACTAGGAAATGGGAGACCTGGTCACCTGGGACACTGACAAGGCTGAGGTGCTCAACGACTTTTTTGCCTCAGTCTTCACCAGCAAGGGCTTGGGCCACACTGCCCAAGTCCTAGAAAGCAAAGGAAGGGTCCAGGAGAATAAAGAACTGCCCAGTGTAGGAGAAGATCAGGTTTGGGACCACCTAAAGAACCTGAAGGTGCACAAGTCCATGGGACCCGATAGGATGCCTCCGTGAGTCCTGAGGGAACTGGTGGATGAAGTTGCAAAGACATTATCCACCATATTTGAGAAGTCATGGCAGTC